ATATGAATAGTGACTTTAGGATATTTTGATGATATATTAATTCCTACTCATGATGATGATGGATGGAAGTTGTAAGTTATCTAATCTTTCTATCATCACGTCGATAAATCATAATAACTATATTTAAGTTCTTCCTTACCACTTTTTACTAAATTCCTTTTTTTTTTTTTTTGGAACGATTAAAAATTCAACTAATTATAAAGTGATCATGAGACTCAAGTATGGGTGCGCTTGTGGGATAGTCACATTCCGGAAGAAAGCTGGAAAACTCCTGAAGATAAATATGTATATATGTATATGGATAAAGGTGCAACTATTAGATTTCGTGTTATAGAAGAAAAATTTACAGATGTTGGTACAAAAAGACCACCACCAAAAAGGACAGGTGCTGTAGCAGGACAAAAAGCTCCTATGCCTTCATCATCATCTTTACCATCAGATGTTATGATTGTGGGTAATAATCGTATTACCCCAAATGTAAATACTGACTCAACTATAAATCCTCCAAGTTTTGGAAATAATCAAACTGGAAATATTACTTCAACATCTATACCAAGTTCTTCAACTTCTTTAACAATTCCTGGAAAAATAACAAAACAGGCACCATATGAATTGATTGGTTCAATTGCTGAAGTGGGATTGGGTATAACTTCTTGGACATGGGATCATTAAAAAAGTATTTAGTTCTGTAAAGCTTTATATTACTTTTTAATAAAATAAATAATAAATCGAGAAGTTATTTACTTTTCATTTTAGACTCGCAAATATTGTATAACTTATCTAATGATCTATATAACGCTAACAAATTCTTAAAGGATGGTCCAAAAATTCCCGATCGAAATCTATCGTCATTAATAAATTTGTCCAAGATTACTTAATAGCTTTTTACTAATAATGTCATAGTATATTCATTAAAAATGTTCGTATTTTGATAAAAACTTTGCTATAGGCCGATATTCGGTATTATGCAACCATAAATTATCATGTTAACATTTAATAAGTAGTTATCACTTTTATTAGTAAAATTTAGGTTGTGCTTTAGTTAACTACTGTTAAAACTAAAAAAAAAAAAAAAAAATATTTTAAATTTACAAAAGATGAGATTGGAACTGTTGACTAATTCGAGGTGGGGAAGTTTGATATATGGGGTGCAGACAATAGAAACAGCCCATTTTTACATATAAACAATTTTGAGTAAATCAGATAGGATTTTACGTTTCCAGAAATTCTAGAACAGCTAACTGATCGATACCTGATACCTGTACGTACGTACGTACGTACGAACGCGTGACGATAATTGATAATCGATAACAAATGCGTGACGATAACGAATAACTTGATAACTGATAATCGCTATTCCAATAAGTTTTTTTAACTTCTTTAATTTTTATTATTAATTTTTTTTTTTTTAACTATTAATTTTTTTTTTTATCTAATAATTTTTTTTTTAACTCTAACTTTATGATAGCTTATAAATCCAATTTAAAGTAAAAAAAAAATTAAAGACTACCAGTAACGATCTTTCGGATTGTCAGAAGTGGGTTGGGTTTGAAGACTACTAGTCATAAAATTGTATACTATTGGCTGTAATAGATATGTGACGAATAGATCTATATGGATGTAACGAGATAATAGGTTGGTTACGATGGTTTTGCGTGAGGTAGGGGCATATGACAAATTTGTGAAGATAATTTAAAATTTTTTTTAAGTGGATTTGGTTCAAAACTACTAATAACATAGTTTTCTTTTTAATGAATCTTGTCCAAAAGCTACTAGCGAAGTTTTCTTAAGTTTCAGAGCATAGTGGACAATCTTTGTTACACAAACCTTCTAGATTTGAAGATTGTGACTTAGAGCCAAATCGTCCAATAAAAATCTAGGATTGTCAATCACATGAAATTAATGATCAATTACATTTATTATAATCGATAATGATTTTTAAAATTTTTATTTTACAAGATCAAAGATATCTTATGATCTAATAACTAGAATTTAATAATTTTTATATCATTTGATTTGTTTTATTGAGACAAATTAAATACTATAAAAATTATCAAATTTCAACTATGAGTTAATGAAATATTATTAGTAATCTAATTCCTAATTTTGCTTATATTTATTTTATTAAAAATTCTGGTTTCTTTACAAATTTATTATTTCTAAATTCAATAATAAGATATATTTTTTTTAAACTGTTTTTGTATTATACTTTAGAATAATAATAGTTAAAATTTAGTAAAATATAATTTAATAAAAATAATATTATCATCAACTCTTCCTGTCAATCTTCTGATCACTTTTTTTGCAAAAATCTGACTTGTGAAAAAATCTTTTCTACTATAACAGACAACAATATTCTTCTTCTTGAGCTTTCTACAATGTATCATAGATGAATAACTCTCTTGTATAAGTTTTTTTTAGCTGTGTTATCTGAATATAACTCCTAGATACTATAGAAAAGTAGTAGAAATAAGAAAAATTGTCAAATACTTTTGTTGTTCTAAGTGACGCTCACTAGTAGTTTGCTAGTATAAGAATAGCTAGTTCAACAAATACTTGTACTGTTTTTAGCAAAAAAATAAGTAGCAAAATCCTACTCTCCTAGAAGTAGCCTTCTCTACTATCATCTTTTAGATTTTTTCACTATCTCATTAGTGTTTTTTGAAGGATTTGGCTTATCTTTTTCAAAAGATCTGCAACCTATATTGACAAAAACAATTGAGTATTAGCCTGTTATTTCTCATATCATAAACAAACAACAAATATATGTTAGGCTAAATACGTGCTATAGGAAATCTGAGTTGTTGATATTCTTTCTGTAATATAGTACTCTACTCTCTTAAGAATTTAAAAAATAACTTTAGTATTATATATACACAATTTTTATACTGTTCCAGAAAGAACATTTGTTTTTTATTGTTTTTGTTTTTATTATCTAAAAGTTTTTATCTATTAGCAGATTTCCTTTATTCAACTTTTTTATATGATACATAACCTTATGTCTTTCATTATATATAAAATTTTTATTTTTCTTTTTATTGCCTACTCATCTTGAATCAAATTAGCATAGGATAGGATGTAAACGAGAGGTTTTTGATTAGGCTATTAACAAGTTGTTGAGGATTTGAATTTGTTCTATATGTCTACATACAAAAATTTTTGAAGAGTAAATTGTTGATAGGTCGATCCTACTTAGGGCCTCTAGAGGTATTCGAGTGAGTCGTAAATAAAATTTCAATATGTTAGTAGAATTTAGGAAGCTTTTTTAGACTAATGCATCTAGTATAATGTATTCCGAGAGGACCTAAGCTGTTCTAAATAAATAGATCTGTAATGAGCTAGCTGGCTTAAGCAGTTAGGTATTGTGGTAATGTTAGGTTAGATCTGTATGGGTTAATGAACAGAGTGTTTAAATAGTTAATTTACAGGTAGGTTACAAGTATGGCAGCATAGTATAGAACCAATCAGATGATCTAACGTCTATGTGGCAGACTACTTAAAATAAATAATGACTAAAGTTATATATGTAGCTTATTGTATACTCTTCATGTAATTACAAACAGTAAGGATTATCAATGTAAATCTCATTAACAATTCTAATAAAATTCTTTCAGCAATGTAAACCGCATTAACAACAAAAAAAAAACAAAATTAGAAGGTTTTTTTAGTTAAAAATAAGAAAATAAAGGTATATACTAATATTTTATAATAATTTTGTTAATAAGTTAACAAAATAATAATAATAATAATAAATCTTATTAATAAAATTTTAAAAAAATATAGTTTATTCTGAAGGTTATTGATAATCTCTCTCTGTTTTATAATTGTATTTAGTTTTTTTATCAAAATTTAAAGGTAGAATACAGTTTAATACTAAAATAAAAGTTAGATATAATAGTTTAATTTTTAGATTACATGAGGTTTTAAGAGTTTTTGAACATTTTTACTTAATCTACTTGATCTTTATTTCTTAATTAATTTATTGAAATATAGCATTTTAGATATTAATAATTTTTAGTATAAATTATAAATATTCTAAAATTTTTTTAATTTTAATATATTAAGTTCAAAAGCTACTAGTAAAATTATTTTAAGTTTTAGTATTCTAGTTTAAAACTACTAAAGTTTTTTTTTTTAGCTTTATTGATGATTTGCTAATCACCTGAACAAAATGATTTACAATTACTAATTAAATATAATACAATTTGACTAATTAAAATTCTAATTTTGAAATGTATACAGCAGTCATATCTGTACTAGAAAATTAGATCAAAATATAGATGTTGAAGAACGTTATCAGGCAAACTCAAAGATAGTTAGCCTCAATGAAAAATATGAAACTCAAATAGAGCAGATAACAGAAGAGCGATGGACTACCAATAGATGCAAAGACCTTAAAGATTAGTAGAAAATTCTTAGCGCTAAAGCACAGCAAGAAAGGAAAAAAGAAGAACTTGCAAATATAAACATGTATATTGATGCTCGATGCGAAGCAATTCAAGGAGAGCTAAAGCATATGCTTAATAGTCTCCTCGAAAGACCTTCCAAAAAAGTCAAAATTAACAGAGTAATGAGAGCTGAAGGAGAAGAAAAGGTTTTGCTTACAGAAGAAAGTGAAGTACAAAGAGAAGTACGATCACACTTCATAAGGCAATTTCGAAAGTGTAACACAAAACAAAGCTCCTCACCCTCAAAATAGATCAGGGCTTATAATCCGATAGAAAAGCTAAGTGAAGACATTTATTCCAATCTGTCTGACTAGGTTACAGAAGAAGAATGGAGGAATGCTCTTAGCAAAACAAAAAACAAATCAGCACCAGGAGTATCAGGAATAAGCTACCCCCTAATTAAAAGAGTGGGAAAGGTAGCCCAAAAAATCTTTACAATATTAGCAGACCGTTGTCTAGCTATAGGGGATATTCCAGTCAAGTGGAAAATAGGTCAGCTATATCCAATCCCTAAAAACGAAGATTGGAATTACGACCTCTCAAATGTCAGACCAATTGTACTCCTAGAAGCCTTCCGAAAAACAGTAGTTAGAATACTTAATACAAGACTAGATCATATTCTAGTTACACACAAAGTATTAGAAGGTCCTAATTATGCAGGGTTAACAGGAGACAGTACAGCAAGCCCTATTCACATTATGAATAATATCCTTGAAGACGCAAGACAAAAAGGCAAAGAAGTCTGGATTTTATTTCAAGACATGAAAAAAGCATTCGACTCTGTAGGCTTAGAAATGATAGAAAAAGCACTGAGAAGAATTAAACTCCCAGAACAAACAATAAGCTTCCTCCTCAGTCTATACAATAATAGAAGAATTAAAGTTATTACAGAATACGGTCTGACTCAAGAATTTGTAGCAAGAAATGGTCTTGATCAAGGAGAGGTAGTTTTACCACTAATGTGGCATATCTTCTATGATCCTCTACTATGCTTAATTCATAAGGAAGAAAATTTAGGTTATATTATAGAATCAGAATGGCCTTCGGACTTAAGCTCAAACAGAACTCAAATATCGTATTGGCAGCAGGGAGTATTAGCTTATGCAGACGATACAACCTGGATAGCAAGATCAAAAGAAGAATTACAAAAAATTATTGATATCTCAACAGAGTTTTACGAACTTAATGATATTGAAATCAATAGTAAAAAATCTGAGCT